AATTGAAAGCTTCTTCCTCCTTGTCAATTAAGTTTCTTCACTTTCCACTCGATAACATCAACTTCATTCTACACAATTAGAAAGAAAAAATTAGACATGTCTCCGCAAATATAAATATGATTAGTTGTTTAGAATATTAAATATATCGAGAAAATTAATTATATAGGTGTGGGCGGGTACCCATTGGGCGGGTTTACCTAAACTCATATCCAACCCGGTGAATAGTGAAGGGGTTTAAACCTGAACCCGGTCCAAAACCCGTCAACACGGATTTTACCCGCATTGACCAGGTTGGGTTGGGTGGGTATCCGTGGGTTCGGGTTTTGTTGTCATCCCTAGTCAGAGGGTCAAAACGTGACCCGTCCCTAAGTTGTCCCTACGCGTCCCGACCCTTACAAGTTCAACAAATGACTCGTCCCTAATTTGTCCCCGTAGACAAACTGACCCGTCCCAACCCTTAGAGACAGGACGGATCGGGTCAATAGATCTTTGGGGTCAAGCTTTCACCACTAGAGTGGAGAGGTTTCTCCGATTTCTTTATCGAGGGAAGACATAATGAAAATAATGGCGGGAGAGGAGCGTTGTGGGACTTTACTCTTGAGAATACTCTTCAGCTCTTCATTAACCGGCAATAGTAGGATAAAAACCTTGTCATTCTCCATTAGCAAAGCTAAGGAGGCTGAAAAGCACCATTGAAGGATACAACTGGATTTCTAGTTCTAGAATTAGAGAACTCAGAGAGAGGGGGCGGAGACAGAAACTTTAGCAAGAGAGAGAGAGAGTCATTGGATCATGAGTAATTAATAATTGGCTAAGGTTGAGTAAGTATTCCTCTTAACACTACAAATATCGATGTATATTTTAGCTTAAGCATAAGGCAATCCAATCTATAACCAATGTAGATACAATATATTTAAGGGCTAATACCACTACAACGCCCGAACAATGAGCAAAATGTCACTTGTGTCCTATTCTTTTCAATATTCCATTTGTATCCTGTCGTATGATACTTTTGTGTCATTTGTATTCTAGCAATTTCTTTGACCGTTAAAGATAACGGTTGACCGGACGGCAGTCAAAGCAATATTAACTTTCGCTGACGTGGCAAAAACGTGGCGTCCACGTAAACGCCACATCATTAACATATCATTATTCAATATAAAATTAAATTAAATTATAATAAAAACCCAACAAATTATTAGAAAATAAATATTAAAAAAAACAAAAGGAATTTGCTTCGTCGCTCCGCCCTCCCATCTGCGCTCCGCCCTCCCCTCTTCTCCTTCCTCGACAACGAAGTTGCAGAGCAGCGATTGGGGCGGCACGATGCCAGAAGTGGAACCGGCGATTGGTGGTGCACGACGGCGATGATCGACGACAGATCTAAGGAGGTGCGACAGCTATGGCGCCGCGTGACGCCCGAGAGGCTGATGGTGACGATGGTGCCCGAGAAGTTGATGGTGACGCGATGAGTTTGGCGGTGAACTTGAGTGCCCCCATTACCAGCGGTCTCTGCCTCTCAAACTTCCTGTTTGTTTGTAGATCTCCATCCGGCATGGTCAAAGAATTTAGCCCAAGTCGATTGCTTCCCCTAACCGAATTTAGGCGTCGAATTGAATTAGGGATTTGACAAATTGCAGGGTAAGTAGTCGAGGGAGGAGTGTCGGGGCGAAAATGATTCAGGGAGGAGCTGGGAAGGGGCAATTAGCTCTTTTTTTTTGTGAAAACAATTAAAGGGGAAATTAGCGTGGGTAGTTTGTAGGATAGGTATAGATAGATCTAGCCGGAGAAGAAGGGTGGACTCTTCTCTTGGCGGCCACTGTATCTATCCGGCAACAATTGATAAGAGAAGAGACGGGAAAGCATGGAAGATGGGAAACGAAAGGAATTTACCATTTTTATTTTTATTTTATTTTATCGTAAATAAAAATTGAAATGAAAAATTCCATGTCAAATGCCACGTAGATGTTGACTGAACTTTCTGTTAAAAACTAACGGTCAACACCGGTCAACACTAACATAATAATAGTTTAGGATACAAATGGAATATTGAAAAGAATAGGACACAAGTGGCATTTTGCTCATAGTTTGGGTGTTGTAGTGGTATTAGCCCTATATTTAATAATATAGTCATGAACAACGAACATAATACATAAACATATACTCTTTTATGGGACAAGTACATATTTTTATGATTTTAATATATACAAGAATGGTCATAAACTCATACTCATGGTTCTAAAAAGTGCGCCTAGGCGAGTGTCAGAAGTAAAACGCCTTGCCTAGGCAAAAAGCAGCGGAGAAGGCGTCACAAACACGTTGTGGCCTCGATGGCGCCTAGTTAACATTGAGTTGTACTTCAAAATGATGTCACAATGTCTTTTTCTACCTTTTGATATGTTAGTAGGGAGGACGGTCTTGATTTCTCTATAGTTAGGCTAGGATATAGTTAGAGACGACCATATTTAGAGTTGCTTCTTCTTTCTTTATTGCTCTTCTTCGTCTCAATATGCTCCGCTATTTTCCAGCTTTTTCCTTATTACTCATTTCTCTACACTATGTTTTAGGTGTTTACCATATGTTGTTGATAAAAGTTTAGAAATGAAAGGTATATGCGATGATATTTGGCTCATAAACTTGTGATTCTAGGCAAGTGGGAGATATTATGTTACGTTTACATCTAACGCTTAGACATGCCTAAGCGACGCCTAAGCATGCTAGGTGCAAGGCAGAGCCTCAACGCTCGCCTTTCGCTTAGCGCTTTCTTGAACCTTGGTCATAATACATTAGACAAAATAAGAAAAATACATGAATCGTATAGTTATCACTAACCTTGAATTTTATTACTTTGAATTAGCGGTTTTTCTATTCCTTTTTGGTCCCGTTCTTTCCATCTAGAACAATATAACAAATAAAGTACGACTAAATAACACGTTTGGTCACTAAACTTACCATTTTATGGGAAGTTTATTACTAAAAAAATTTGACTGCATTAGTGGTCACTTATTTTACATTCTCATTTTATCATTTGTCACACTTCTGTCTAACTCCATTATCTATGTCCTCTATTGTATTCAAATCTCATGTTTGAGTGTTAAATTAGTAACATGTCAATCAAAAATTAATAAAAATAATCCCCTAATATTTTCACCTCACAACTACAATTACTAAATTAATAACAAATTATATTCTAAAAATTATCCACCACATGTATACCCACATCCCTGGATTTTGGCAGGGGAAATCGGAATGTAGACGACGATACGACCGTCCTAAATAACCTTGCAATTGTCATTTTTCCTAGGCCTAGTCCATCACCCAACCCATACATCTATAGTGAAATTGGATTTTGAGAAAAATTGCAACGGTGGTAATTGGATGTTACCTGAGGTGAATCTGATTCGGAGCTTGCAGAGCTCTTTGTTGACGATGAATCTCCCAGGGAGAATATGAGACCCTTGGTCAATATCATTTGATTGAATAGTAGACTTTAACTCCGTTTTGGTTGAAGAAGCCCTCCATTTCAATTGGTATTTTTTCATGAAAATCAAACATGAGATAAGAAATCATATTTCCAACACCCTAGAAATTGTGGCAGATAAGAACGAGAGTGAGCTTGTAATCTCCGATGAAATCGGGATGAACTTGGAGGGTGATTGAGTGATTTCCATTCCCGAAATCTTTGACTAGAGGTCGAAACTTACATGACTCACCTGAAAGATCTGACTCGAAGTAATAACACCGAGGTTTCTTTCTTGGACTCATCCATCGCCTAAAAAAGAACTCATAGGAGCCAACCATCAGGAAAGAAGGCCAGAAGTGAAATTAGGCTTGACCTCCATCGTCACCCATATTGCATTGTCGAAATCGACTCTTGCTCCCGCACCGACATCGGTAATAACCCATCTTTCAACAAGCTCTCAAAGGAGTCGTTATTGCTGTTGTTGTTGTTGTTGTGTATCTCTACCCAGAGAAGAACAGGACTCACATGAGCAGTAGTGTTAGCGAAAGAGGCAAGAAATGGCGACTTCTTGCAGAGAGTAAAATTGTCGTCGATGGTGAAATCTTTCTTATGGGAATTTTCTTATCCTATATTCGTTGTGGGTTGGGTAGGATGAAACTTCAAGGCGGCAAGAAGATCTTGCTTGTTGGGCGTAGAAGATTTGACGAACGTCCTAATAGAACAGTCATCAATGATCCAAACAACCACCATGCTCACCAAACCAGAGCATTCGGAAAGAGGTAGTGAGAGTGTGTAATGGTAAAACGAAAATGTAGAGTTAGTTACCACTAATACAGTTAGAGTTTCTTAGTGACAAACGTGAAACAAAATGATAAACTCGATTACCAAACATGCTATGTAGCCAACAATTCCAATTGTAAAATTTGGAATCCTGACATGGTAACTTTTCATTTGTTACTTTTCAGCCTCTAAACACTATTCCATTATTAAAAGATAGGGTTATAGATATATTATGCTCTTTTACTATGCATTTTTATCAAATATGCTTATTTACTATTTTTACATCAAACAATACCCTGTATTTTGAAAAAATTATAAAACATGTTTTTATGTAAAAAATCATCAACTACGGTCAAACCATGGTTCAAACGTCCCGACCTTGGCAAAATAGAAGGGAAATTTCAATATTTTTCCTCTTCGTTTATTTCTCTATGTCTCGTTAAAGTTTTCTATTAGGGGTATTGGCATACAAAATAAAAAAAATAATGTTTAAGTAAAATTATTAGGGATATTTTAAATATTTAGGTTGTCCAAATCAAAATTTGACCGTGTTAATGACATATGAATGAAAATTTTAACAGAACCACAGGTTTGATAAAATAATTTCAAAAGAAATAAAAAAAATCAAGACGTCTTACCAAAAAATAAAATAAAATAAAATAAAGACGTAGTCACGTAGCCCATGGCTGTCAGGCTGTGGGCATCATTAAATGTTGGTTGGATCGGGTGAGTGTGCAAAAGCAAAACAACCAAACGAGAAAAGAAAAAAGAAAAAACGGAGTCGAGTGCCGACTACTTCTGATTTCCGAGCCCAAACTTAGAAAGATAAAGAGGCAGAAGAAGCAAAGCAGCTGATCTCTGGTTCGACACAAGAGAGAGAGAGAGAGATAGATCCGGTTTTTGGCACAGTGAAGTTTCGGAGAGAGAGAGATAGCTGAGGCAGCCGCCGTCACCTCAGATCAACCAAACATATTTACCTCCGTCTAATCGATCCCTGATTTGAGCTTCCCTTTTCAGGTATATCCTAGAATCTGCATTGCATATTCCTATCTGTTACTTCTGTCTCTGATTTTTGTTCTTATGAATCTCTAAATCGCTACGGGGTAGAGTTTGATTGAATCTAGTATTATGTTTGTGGCGTATTGGAAATGTCAGTTGCCGCGACTGGTTCTTTGTTCTATACGTCATTGATTGCTTGATCATCATGTTCAGTTGTGGTTCAACTTGGTTTCATGCACTGGAGGCTTTCTTTGCCCCTGTGTTTTTTAGCTGAGTTGGGTCATTTCGAGTTTGACTGGGTCTCTTGGATTCTGTATATTTATCGTAGTCACGTGTCATTATAATTGGAGATGTTAATGCTTCTGTGGTGGCTTGAGCAACTCCGAAGCTGTGATTATCACGGCATTGAATACCTTTTTGGCATATAAGAACTACGGCGAGATAAGTGCCTTTGATTAGGTTGTGCGTGCAGAAAGTGAATTCGAAGTGTGACTTTCTATTTCCATTCTGCAATACCGGTCTAGGTGCAGAGTGGGGCGTATTTGCATCGAGCAAGTTGATTGAGTGCAAGAAATGGATCGGTTTGTTTTCAGTAACAAGTCATTATTTTGTTCTTGTGCTGTGGCAGTACTCTGGCTATGGGTTCCAAATCAGTTGTGGATATGATTGAGGCATCCTCAGGTGCACATTTTTCTGGGTTTCACATGGATGGCTCATTGGGTGCTAGAAGTAATGGGCAGCCAACAACCTCTGCAAGTGATGGGATCTACAATCAACCTTTTGTTATTGGTGAGTGTTGAATGATGTTCAGCTCAAAAGCTGTATCCAATGTTATACTGGATTGGAAAATGAGACAGTTTCTAGCATTTTTATGACAACTCCCGAAATGCACCATAAGTTGTAACCGATAGGATTTCTTGCTCACACTCCCTGCTTGGGGAATTGAGTATTCGGATGAGTTATTTAGAAATAACTCGTTTTGAGTTACTACAAATAACTCACTGCCCAAATAACTCATTTCAGTAAAATGCTGCCAAACGAGTTATTTGTGTCCAAATAACTCACTCAAATACTCCATCCAAACGACCCCTGAATATTATGTGTCTTGGAATTTAAGATATTGGATGCCAGCCAGCTAGCTAGGGAATCCTCTGTGATTAAACAAATATATTGTCAGAATTCGCATCAATCTGGGTGCACGTTGCATTTCCCCGCAACTTCATTGTTCCTTTTGTTCAGGTTTTGTTTAACATGTGTTGTTATGTAGGAGTTGCTGGAGGAGCAGCTTCTGGGAAAACAACGGTGTGCGACATGATCATCCAACAGCTGCATGATCAGCGTGTAGTACTTGTTAATCAGGTAACATTGAGTAGCGTGTGGCGATTTATTACTTCTGCCAATGGAGTTGATTTGGTAAATGGAAGCTTTCGTAAAATAAAGAACTGCTATGGTTGAAACTCAATTATCTTTATGAGATAGAGATCTTCCGTTTGGGTGTTGTTTCTCAAGTTATGCCCACTTTGCTGTTATTAATTTACATGATAAGCATAAAACTACTCATGGACCTTTTTGTTTCTGATTTTGTGGTGTAAGAGTCTTAAACAGTCAAATATTTTGTTTGTTTGCAATGGTGCACAAAGTTTAATGCTTTAGCTCTGTTACTCCTTCTGAATCAAATATGTTATCTCTTTTGGTGGGCAGGACTCCTTTTATTTCAATCTCACAGAAGAAGAACTTAAACGGGTCCATGAATACAACTTTGATCATCCTGGTGAGTAGAGGAATTCCTCTATTCCCTAGCCCATTGGTATCTGTATCTGATTCTGATGAATCAAGAAAAAAGATTCCAACCTAAGGACTGGCAATGGCCATATTATGGACAAGCTGCTAAGAAGTGACTTTTTTGTTGTGCCTCATATCGTGGACTTGGCTCACTTGTCTTATATTGCGATTACGATCCATAAAGACGTTGAGTTTATATTGTGGCGGCACCTATGAACTACTAAAGACAAAAATTAACTAGTACATGGAATTGTATGGTTTTGTAATATAATTTCTTATGTAGCATATAGTTGTGCTCCATAACCAAAATCCACCCTTTCAATTTACAGATGCATTTGACAACGATCAACTGCTATCTGCCATGGAGAAACTGAGGCAGGGAAAGGCTGTAGATATTCCCAAGTATGACTTCAAGAGTTACAAAAGTGATGTTTTCCCCGCAAGAAGGGTATATATTCTTGGAACCTATTGATATGAGCTAGCCTAGATCCAACTCGTTTCAGTTTATGCAAAACCCAGTAATAGATACTGAAAATGAAGGAACACAATGGAGTAAGACTCCTTCAAACATTCATGGATTTTATGGTATTAATTTGTGCATAACTTCCAGTAAATTGTCATAGAAGTTTTCTGTCTGGAATTTTTGGTTAACACAACGATAAAAAAACTGAGATGAAACAGCTGTAGTAGTATCTTGAATGACATTGTCCCGTTATGTCTTGGTAAGGGGCCTTTTAAGGATCATAACTAATTATATTGGTTTAGTGTTGATGGCTAGATAATCAGATGAATCTGCATTGTGTTTCTCGACAGGAAGCTGATATTTGTTGTTGACTTACCTCTGTTTCTTTTCCTCTCTGAGATTATATGTTATGTTCAATGAGTGAATATTCACTTCTTCATTTTGTAAAGCTCTGTAATATGTCATCCGTATTTTCGATCTGACATTTCGATATGACCATTTGGTCTTTCTTCTCATGTCTGAGCTTTGGTTTTCCATTGTAATTTGCGATTTCTCACACAATCATTAGGTATCTCCTTGCCAGATTATTTGAGCATCTAGTTGCTTCATGTACCAATTCAGTTCTAAAGTGTCATTGCTTTTAAACATGTGCAGGTTAATCCGTCGGATGTTATAATTTTGGAAGGCATTCTCATTTTTCATGATCCTCGTATTAGAGAGCTGATGAACATGAAGATATTTGTCGATACAGGTTGTCATGCTTCTTTCCTTCTGATCAGTTCACTTTTTCATTCTTTACTTATCCTTGAAGTTGTAGGTAGACATTCAGTGTAATTACTCACAACGTGTAAATTTGAGTCCAACTCAGTCTGCAAATACATCAAAACAATTTGACCATTTGTGTGAAGTAGATCTAAACCCAGCTACCTGGTTCTATGTCTCATACTGATTGATGAAGTATAGTATAATGGTACTGTAATAAATATCCATTTCATGTTAGCGAACCCTAGAAGTTTAAAATGATAGTAAATGGGGGAAAAGGTGAGAGGTTTCTCTGTTGCTTTACATTTACCAATTTTCAGTGCAGATGCTGATGTACGGTTGGCCAGGAGAATAAGGCGTGATACTGGTGAGAAAGGTAGAGATATTGCCACAGTTCTTGATCAGGTCAGTCTATTTGTAATTTCATGTACTTGGTTCTGTAGTACTCGTGAAAGATGACTTTCATGTGTCTTGGTGGCCAGTTGAAGTGACTCCTAGTTAATTTATATCTTGAACACACCTCCTTTTTCTCATCCTTTTATTGCCTAGTGACTCTTAATTGTTTGATGCAGTATTCCAAATTTGTGAAGCCTGCTTTTGATGACTTCATACTTCCAACAAAAAAGTACGCAGACATCATCATTCCTCGTGGTGGTGATAATCATGTGGCAATTGATTTAATTGTGCAGCATATTCGTACAAAACTTGGCCAACATGATCTCTGTAAAATTTACCCCAATTTATACGTCATTCAATCAACTTTTCAGGTTTGTCTATCTTTACTAAGCCACACAACTCTTATTTCTAAAGTTGGTTGCAATTAGTTGTTCATAAAAGTTGTTCTTTATTTTATGTGATGTACTCTTTATTATTTACAGAAGTATCATCCATCTTGTCTTGCAGATACGTGGCATGCATACCCTTATACGTGACTCTCAAACAACCAAACATGATTTTGTTTTCTATGCTGACAGGCTTATTCGTTTGGTGAGCTTGTCTCTGTTGTTTCTCCTTCTCTCCTTTTGATGTCTTCTTTATTTCTGGGTTAGTCTATTTCATCTTGCATTCTGATCTCACCCCGGTCAAGTTCTGCACATTCTGTTCCTTTTTTTTTTTTTTTTTGCTGATCAGAGAAACAAACCGTGTATTTACGTTCTAATCGATAGCAGTTTGGTGTAACAATATGATCCATTTCTGGATTGCATCTATTTGATGTCTTCTTGGTCATAGAGGAAAGAAAAGGAGGGGATAACAATGGAGAAAGCATTAAGCTGTGTTCAAGTGACCAAAGTTCTGAAAATTGATGAGTCATATAGTATCTTTTCCATTTCTCCGTTTCACTTTGTAGTTTGGGACTCTCTCCAAGCTAGAGCCTCTATTTCTGAAGTCCCCTTAAAACTTGAGAGATACTTGTATTACTAATGTGAAGGTTAATTTAGGGATCAAAGAGTAGTGTTGCGACTTCTTTCCTTGTTTTTGACTTGTCCGATCTTTCATGCTTTTCCAGGTAGTTGAGCATGGTCTGGGACACCTACCTTTTACAGAGAAGCAGGTGATCACTCCCACCGGTAAGTTGATCTTGCTTGACACCATGACTATCTTCATGCATTCTTCATCTGTATGGGTGTGGCCTTTTGCATACTGTTGATTATATGACTGATCCTGAAGAAGTTATTTGAAAATGTATCCTGAAGATTGTTTATCCATGCTACGGCCTACCATTGCATCATTTTATCTATTTTCATCTCTTTCCTTCGTTATTCTGTGATATATCCTTAATTTACAGGAATGATCTGTTATCCTGGACCTTGCATATGCTTTTTGTACTCTTAATAGGTCAAAATAATATTGTTCTAATTCTTTCAGGTGCTTGTTTAGAGTCCAACACACTGGTGCTTGATTTTGTAGTATATTTCAGAAACATTAGATTTGAAGTTATGATCACGATCGGTCGGTTTGATTTTGGGGAGCTTGTAACTATCTTGATGCAAATGTGTGATCATATTTCATATGTATATACTCAAAACCTTGTAGTGAAAGTTGTTCGTTGTCGCCTGTCAGTATCTCTTTTCCTTCATGGTTAGTTCAAAGAATCCTTTGGTTGTGAAACAGGTTCTGTATATACTGGTGTGGACTTCTGCAAGAGATTGTGCGGTGTGTCAGTTGTCAGGAGGTAATTGAAGTTTGATTACCCTTTGTTTCCAGAAAACTTATTTTCAACATGAGAAGTTGCCTAAGTAAGGCGGGGAACTGAACTGTGATTTGATGCTGATTGATTTTCAGTGGTGAGAGTATGGAAAATGCTTTGCGAGCTTGTTGTAAAGGCATCAAGATAGGGAAGATTCTCATCCATAGAGAAGGTGACAACGGTCAGAATGTATGTAAACGTTTTCAACCAAAATTCCTTCTGTTAGTGGCTGCATATTCTCGTGTCCCTTAATAGTTGTCTGTTGCTTCACTGCATAACAGCTGATCTACGAAAAGTTACCTAAAGACATTGCAGATAGGCACGTCTTGCTACTCGATCCCATTCTAGGAACAGGTTTGTCTGATATAAACTGTCAAACCATCTTACGTATCTTATGTTCCTCATTTGGTCTCATTTCTTTCTTGCCTCTAACGTATCATTCCCATATTCAACTTCCAGGCAACTCTGCAGTTCAAGCCATTTCCTTGCTCATCAGGAAGGGCGTGCCCGAGGCCAACATTATATTCCTTAATCTCATATCTGTAAGTGATTGCTGCCCTCTTCAACGTTTTTTCTTCTTGTTCACGGCTTTCCTCGGATGTGTCGTTGCAGCCAGCTTATTGTCTGCTTAATTGTTTTCCTCCAGGCACCCCAGGGAGTTCATGTTGTCTGCAAAAAGTTCCCCAGGATAAAGATCGTGACATCCGAGATTGAGACGGGTTTGAACGAGGATTTCCGTGTCATACCAGGAATGGGGGAGTTCGGAGACAGATATTTTGGAACAGATGACGATGACGAGCCGCCGGTGGCTGCAACAGCAGCCGCCAAGAACGGCAGCTGATTGCCACTGGCCACAGTATGGGTACGAGTGTGCCTCGGTCCGTCTTGTCATATGTGGCAAAGTTCTTTTGAGTGCTTAATTTTGTCAACAAAATTTTGAGTCCATAAAATGACTTCCCATCAATTCCGTAATAATATCTGATCTCTTGCAACTGTCTGAACCTGAAATGAGTCTGTGAAGTTCCATTCAGCCCTTTCTGCAGTTCTTACTGTGTTCCCCATGAAAACAACGAGATGTTTTGTGAGCTTCCCCATTTTCCGATTGGTTGAGGGATTTTGCGCATTATGATAAAAGTGAGTTAAATGAAGGATAATAATGAAACTGTCGTTGGGTGGTATCAAATCGACTCACCCGTTCAATCACCACAAGTTGATACAATTTTCAATGGTTATATCCTCACATCACATTCTTCTTCGTTCGAGTTGGGTAGGGTAATTCTTCTTCGAGTTGGGTAGGGTGGGTGTGGATTGATGCGGTTGGGTTATTGGGTTAATTCACAAGAAAAATTCTTCGACTCATCATTAGACAAGTTGATTAAAATTTATATTAAATTCATCGCAAATTAGGAAGATAACTCTAATTAACCACTTCCCACTTTTTTCTCCTATGAATCCGTCTAGAAATTGTGACATGTAAAGTTTTGTTTTTTAGTCATAGGGTAAATGTTTGGTCACTGAGATTACTAAAAAATTTCATGTTTGACATTAAAAATATTGTATTCCATTAGTGGTCTTAGATAGTAGTCCAAATTTGATCACTGGCCGTTAGTCTTCATTAGCCTCCGTTAACACCGTCAGTTTTTCGCGGATGTGGCTAACAGAAATGATTAATCAACATATTTCAACAAAAAAAAAACTAAAACTCGATAAACCACATCACTATTTTTTGCGGGTGGATCGATGTTAAACCGTAAATAAACCACCCACATGCCCACCACTAGTTTTTGTGACGTAATTTTCAATATGTCATTTATATACTAAATCATCCATTCCATTAGTTGGACCGTTATATTTGAGTGGGAGACCAGCCAACGACCAGTAAGCGCCTAATTGGCTCTTACATGGCCTGCTAAGTGGAAAATTAAACTTGACCTCTTTTTATATCATCATTTATGAAAATAAAACAAAAATAATTAAAGATTGTCATTTACTTCATTTTGACCTCACCCTTACTTCCTCTTCGTCACTCATAAATAGAGGAAGAACCCTAGAAAAAATTCTTACAAAATCGACCCAGTTGTAGGAATCAATCGACACAAAGTGGAGTCAGAGGTTTTGAATTGTTGGCAATAGTGAAATCAGAGCAAAGATGAAGCTTTGAGTCATCATCGTTTAGATCCGATAATATTGCAGGGTAGAGTGAAACTCTCTGGATCCTTTTAGCTTTTATGAGATTATGCACTAGCTTAGGATGGTCGAGCACTCTTCCCCAAGCTGCATAGATGATATATCAATTAGCTTCTTTTTATTGGATAAAACTTCCTTAAACAATTTTGCATATTGTGGCATCTTGGCCATTGCTTCAAGGAAAGGCACATCAATGTTGATCTTTTCAAGCATTCCAAAGAATTTATGGAAGTTTGCATCATACTCTACCTTGTTCCTACTGAACCGGGCGGGGCAAGTGGACCGTTAGGAACAGACAGGTTCATCTGGAATTTCCTTCTCTGACCATGGGAGAGTAATGTGAGGGCACCCTATCCTTGTCGGGAAGAATCTTAGGATGTAAGGTCTCCCTTCCAAGTCGTAAGGTGATTTCTTTTAGGGGAGTTTCCTCATTTGCCCATGTCGACATATGAGGATTTTGTTCGAGCTCATCTACTCTTTTAGTCAACGTCATCACGATGTTATCCAATGTTATCCAATAGTCTATGCCCTCCATCATTTTTATCAATGATTCTAGTATGGGGTTGGAGTGCTAGAGTTTCGTGTTGAATGCTCTCATGTTCGGCGTTTTTGTATGCCTAGGCTATCCATTAAGATCGTAGCACTCTTCCTCTTGTGTTCGTTTCTCTGGCTTTGATCACCTGGAGTTCTTGGACTACGTGATCCAGCTGAACTTGAAAGTCTATTGTTGTCTCAAATAGTGCCTCCCTTTATTAGAGAGTGCGAGGCGACCGTCATGGACAAAGTCATTCTCTTTTGTGACGAGAGGAGTTGCTCCATACACCTTTTCACCTTTGTGGTGGTTATACTGTAAAGTTGGCAGTGCCTTCATTTAGTCCCTTGCAGAACCAGTGAGCTTGCTGCTCTAGGATGAAACAATGGTGAGGACACAATTTGAGTAATGCGTCACAACGAGTCCATCATCAATTCTTGTTGAAATTTCACGAATTGACGCCTAATATTATCGGCCTTCTATGAGGGGGAAAAAAAATACTCCACTACAAAGGCTTGAGAGGGTGTTCCCCAATGATGTGAAGGTGCCGCTTTCAAATTCTCCAACCAAGCTCTCACTTTACCCTCAAGGGAGTATGAAAAGAGTCTCATGCATACTATAACTTGCTCACTCCGAAGGAGGCAACATAGTCTACCTCCTCTCTGAAAGCACAAGATCGTGATGGGATCCTTTACTTTCCTACTTCAAAAAAGGCAATTTCTTATAAGGCATTGGACGATACTATTAGTGACCTCAACATTCAATAATAAAGGTTGACTGCACCATTAAATAAAGTTAACGAAGTTGAAAGGTCGGTGATCAAACTTGAATATTCACTCTTAGTGACCACAAATGAAATAAAATATTTTTAATGATCAAACATGAAATTTTGCAGTAAATCCAATAATCAAACTTGCAATTTACCCCGTGGTTACTTTTACGCCCATTATGTTGTCTCGTGGAGCACCTATGATCTGACCGAGCCGATTTCAACCAGAAGAAACCTTTGACTCCCCAATCCTCATCTAAGGGTCGTTTGGATGAGTTACTCGTATGAGTTATTTGGGTGCAATAACCCGTTTGTCTACAAAAGTTGGTGATGAGTTATTTGTAATTGAGTTAATTTGAAATAACTCATTAATGAGTTATTGTCAATACCTCATAGGGGTAGTTATTGTGAAATAATTTGTCAACCCGCGGGTTGACCCGCGGGTCGACCCACTTTGACCCTGACCCGGTGAGAAAAACGGGCCGACCGCTACAAGGTACCGGGTTGGAGGTCAAATTGTGTCATTTTTTTCTTTGGTTTGCGAAATGCGCCTATTTTTCGGTTTTTTTTTTCCGCCTAGCTCAATTTTTGGAATGCTAAGTTGAACATTTGAATATTTAAGTTATATAAGTGTGTGTGAATTTTCACTATATGTTGGATCTATATACGATATGTTATTTTGGTGTAATATTATATGTTATAAATCATATGTTAGATAAGATTTGATATAATTTATGAGGATAAGTACAATATAATGACTTTTTCAATATTTCCGGGCCAAACCGGGCTAAAACGGTTGACCCACTAGCTCGACCGGGTCCGGATCAACCCGCGGGTTGACAACCTTTAATAACTCACAAATACTACATTCTCATTTTGTGAGAAATTCCACTTATATATTAACTCGTTACACAACAACTCATCAAACAACCCTGGAAGTTTGGGTGAAAACATCTGGGCTCCCAACCCAAGCGTTTAAGTTCACCGAAGGCCCATCACCACCACCCTTCAGACTTTCTCAAATCTGTGGCCTATAAATTAATCCGATTGGCCCTCGAAAATACAAGACGCAGTGCAATTATGGTTTATTAGGATTAGGGTTTTTTGTATGTAGCCTTCTCCCTCGGATCTTTGTATCCATATGTAATCTACGGAGTATGGGTGTCGAGCTGCAGCTGCGGCGGCGGCAGCGGCAGCGACCGCCTATGAATTCTAGAAATTTCAGGCGTCTTCTATATAAACTGTGTAAGCGCAGCCCTTAAGATCGCCTTCCAGATTACAAAATGGAAGCGTTTTGAGTCATAGCCGCGCGAGATTAAATCTTTATTTTCTGGATTCTCTTTAGGGTTTTCCTTCTGAGATCCTTTTCACCTCCTGCATTCTGTTTTAGTTCCGGGGCGTTTTCCTCCATTCGTTGGATCCTGTGTCGCTCCTGCCATTTGAATTTCCGTCTCTGGAAAATTTCAATTGGTTGGGAGCTCCAGCTCCAACAGGACTTGTAGACGCCTCGCTATGATGTGGGTAACATTCTAAAGTATGAAAAGTTTGCTTCTTTTTTGTTATTTTTTATTACTTGATGATCGTATTACTTCCGTTTGGTTCGTTTTACTTGTTTCCCTTCTTTTTTGTCCTTTTTAATTACCAATTGAGGCATTTTATCTGAGCTTGCTAATCTTCCTCTGCGTTCTGGTTTAAGATATTTTTCAATGTTGGCTATATTTCGAGAATATGAGGTCGATGATGATAGAATTTTAAGGCTTGTTTCTCAAGACATTCGCAGTGGCCGCCTAAGAGCTTTCGCCTTTCGCCGGGCTTGAGAGCTAGTGCTGTATTTATCCTTCCTTGGATGTCTGAGACCTCAGTTGTTTTCAAAGCTATAATTCCACTGTCTGTAGCACTCTGTTTTCTGTATGTAACTTCAGCTGAACGAAACTATGAGCAACAGAGTGTTGTGTTTTCGCTTTGTCAATGATGATAAATCCAAAGGCTTGTTTCTCAAGACATTCGCAGTGGCCGCCTAAGAGCTTTCGCCTTTCGCCGGGCTTGAGAGCTAGTGCTGCATTTATCCTTCCTTGGATGTCTGAGACATTGATATTAGGAAAAACTCAATTGCTTGCTTTCTGCAGTTTTTTCTGTGAACTATATCTTCATATGCATTGTTACAACTTACAACTGTCGAATTTGGCAATTGCTTTTTGCCTGTACTCTTCAATCTTACTGGTGAAATGAGTTTTTGATTGGTACTCATCTGCCTGTCTTGTTTTTGTCTGTGATGATAAATCCAAAGGCTTGTTTCTCTAAACATTCGCAGTGGCCGCCTAAGAGCTTTCGCCTTTCGCCGGGCTTGAGAGCTAATGCTGCTTTTATCCTTCCTTGGATGTCTGAGACACTGTTTTCGGATCTTATAAGCTCAAAGAGTAATTTGTCTAGTTTCTATTAACGCCCAAATGGTATTTATCTTTGTTGTAATTCCATTAATATATATTTGGTTTTCAATCAGTTACTGGATTTTGTCCCAATTTGAATGTCTATGATTATGAGGTATCAAAGAGTTTGGTTTTTAGTTTAACGTGTTCAGTGAGCAGTCTTATTTCAGGCTTGAGAGATGCTGCGCATCTACCTGTTTGTGCCAGAAAGGCAGAAATCAGTGATCTCTGATCTTCCATTTTTTGCTCCTGC